TTGCATCGTCTTTTGCGCGAACAGTGCGAGATATTCGTCATCGGCATTCTCATAGATATCCTCGTAGGCCGAGTTGTAAAGTGCAATAAGGATATTGAGGAGAATGATCTAGAATATTGAGTTAGCTTGACTCTCAAGGATGGATTATTACCAACTTACCATAACAACAAAAGTAAAGCAGTAATAGAGAATGAGACCGAATGGATGTCCAAAATCATCAAAGCCATCAAACTCGGGGCTCTGCATTATGGCTTTGAGCATAGACTCAATGATGAACCAGGTATCGCCCATGATGTTGTCATCAGCAATATCGAGACCGATGAAGGCCTGGAGGAAGCCAATAATGACAACGATAAGCAAGGCAAAGAAAATGAGAGATTCCTTCATCATAACTTTCAGCACAACTAGCATGGCGCCGAAGAAACGGAAGCTGTCAAAATAGAGCAAAAGGCGGGACCAAAACATGGGCGCAACAAAAGAAAGCAGATTATAGCTGAGCTCGTTGTACTTCTTATGCACATCATCATTGTCCCAGTATGCCAGTCCTATGATGCGTAGAACCAATGATACAGTCAAGAAGGAGTAAAGGACGAAGTTAAAAACATTCCAGAATCCCAGGATGTGGTAGCCGGCCTTGTAGAGTTTGAGGCACTCGTCGCAGACATAGGCAAAGGTGAAGATGTAGAGCGCAATCTCAGCACCATCCAGTACTCCTGATGCATTGGCAGAGTTGACTGCGGCCGTGTACAGACCAAGATATATGATGGAGAATAGCAACTGGGCGGCATTCTGGTAGCGAGGTGCACGCATACGATCGGGGTCCATGTGGACAAGTAGGCTGGTGTTTGCTTTGTTCTTGTAGTCAACAAACTCAGAGGGATCATCTTCGTCCTGGACTAGCCAGCCACGCCAGAGATAGGCAATACATTTCTGATAGCCAGAGGAGCCAATGACCCTGACTGCGTGCAGGTCGACAGCCTTCTCAATGACATTGGTTGGGGCTGTAGGAACCTGGTCAATGAGAAAAGAGTACCGGCGGAGAAGAACGTGGTGCAGGAGGTAATCGAGATCCTCCTCTCCCTCAATACTAGTTCGAGTAAGCCAACTGCAAGTGGTGATGGAGATATCATTTTAAAACTTACATCTGCTTAGCGATAACAGTGCAGGCAACAGCACGCAAATCGTGGAGATCAGCATCCCACAGCTCGAGAATGGCTTCGCGTTTAAACCATCGCATATTAACAAGCAGGGCATACACCTACAAAACGCAAAGTCAGCATAACGAATGCATTGAGCATCAAGGAAGAGTGCTTGACGTACAACGCATGATCGGTATTTCTGGCCGCCAGCTTCCTTAGCCGCTTGTACAACCTTGCTGGTGATGACAGTGCTATGGGATCGCGTGATAGCACTTTCTTCAAGCTCGCAAGGGACGCATTCGCGGATCAAATGTCGCAATCGCAGGCAAACTTTCATGACCTCGGCCGGAGGAGTAGCAGATGCAATGTTCTGGTTCCGATGGTTAGGCAAAACTATGGCATGTGAGCTGATAGCCAGATTTCGCATCGATGGGATAACATACGGGCTCTCTCCTCCTCATGGAGCCACTCGCGTCGGCTGGTGGTTCCATCGCTAAAGAGGCCCTTGAAGCGGTTCCATGTGCTGGGCATGATGGAAGCTGTGAGTGTGTGGCTCGGAATATGTCTTGAATGCGAAAAGCGACGCTGGAGGGCAAACGAAGACGCGAGCTGGGAGCCTTGACGCCGAAGAGTTCCGGCAAAGAATTGATATCGTGTAGACTATGGGCTGGGGATCTGCCGGCCTCCAAAACAAACACGTAAATGCTGTGTCGCAATGGATCAGACTAAATTTGGATCCGGAAGCGATGATGTCTCAGGAGGATCTTTGTACAGCAATTGACGGCTGATTGCAGCATGTAGGAAGGTAGACAAGCCCCCTCAATTGAGATGGAGGAGAGAGAATCGCAAGTTCCCCCTCCAAGGTCCCTTAGCCCAATTCATTCCAAGTTCTTTCCCTCAAGCCTTCAAGGTTTATTCAACCCAAACCTGGTATAGCTGAAGGAGGAGCTATCTTTGCGACGGTGATGACGTCGCGAAGGCTGGTAATTGGCCCACTAACACACTACCTAACGCTGCGGCCGCGTCCGTGCCCGCTTCCCGGGTATGCTCGCAGCTCGCTTTGTTCCATCCATCGCCAAGTTGAGCTTGGCCTACAGGTAGCCCCGTAGCTTAATTTCTTGCAGTCCATCATCAGTCAACCAAGTTCATCAAAACTTCAGTGTGGAAGCAGGCAATGATCCTTCAGCTCAAGAGAAGCCCAGGCTTGGATTCGGAATAATAATAGGGGTAGGTGGAAGGCTCTTTATGCACTCAATGGAACAAGAAATCACACATTTCAGCAATGTTTATGACTCTGGTTTATGAGCTTGTCGTCCCTTACAATAATAAAGGTGGAGGCTGTGGTTCGCGAGCAGGTTTTTCTATTTGTTCAAGGAAACATGGCATGGTCAATGCTGAATCGATGATCCGAACCGATGGAAGCCCCATTGTTTTGTGAGAAATACCTACTTAACTAGATGTGCCTTTTATTTTTGTTCAAGATGTCGTTTATGTAATAGATCCCAAGCATCCAATCTCGTGACTCGAGCAAACTCCAAATGCCGTGGCCATTCTTCCCCACGTAACGGTTTCTTGACTTCACCTCACAGTCCTCGCACTTGTTCTGTTAAATATGCTCGAGCAAGTGCTCAAGTTTGGCCTCTTTGCTGGCATGTCCTATGTAGCGCCAGTACGTCGTGCCAATAACACGAATAGCATAATCTTGTACATCGCATCAACAGCTTTGGACTCACTGATACACGCTTCAACCGAAATTGCTGCCTCAATAGTACCTATGCAGCCCCCGATTCTCGTCCTGCCAGTCCGATGAAGTAACACTGCGGATGGCGTTTACCGGCTGCTTCCTGTTGTGGTCGCTGTCGAGACATGGCCAACGCATTGAATCCTTGGTGGTGAGAAGACTGCGGAGCGTCTATTGGCTGCGGCGAGAGGTTGAAAATGGATGTATACCGACAAACACAAGCACGACATGTGGGTTGATGCAGTAAAAAAAGTCCATCTCGCCGGCTTCATTCTGTCATTTATCGTATTTATGATCTCTGCATTGCACCGATACGAGGCTTGTTGATCGATGAAACGTCTTACCGCTCGTGTTGCACTTCATTTTGATATCACGGGCTGCTGGCATCTGATACTCTGCCAGCTCGACATTGAGGCCCTGTAACGTACTTCAACACTAAACCTCAGAAAGCTCTTTTGACCGGCAAGTTCGGTGTCGTCCCCCACATCGCAGATATCACTTGAATGTTGCTGGGCTACTACACAGTCAGAGATTTCCGACTAAATTCAGCTTGATTGTTGGGCTGTGGATGCCTATTGGGTGACGAAAGGTGAGGCGGTTTGCCTGTTGGCAAGGCGTGTATTCACCATTAGAAGCTATTGGGTCAGAAATGGGAGCGAGACTTGAAGTCTGAGGTGTAAAAAGTTGGTAAGATCGTGCCAAGGAGTTTCTACACTTTGAGAGTGTTTGTTCGGATGCCGTTGGCCTGTGGTGCGACCCTGAATTCACAGACATCAAAATTGAGGCTGACGAGGTTTGACGATCAAGAAATAGGTGGGTGGGAGTCTGTTGGCCTCAGACCCACCAACGAATTTAGCGCTTTTAGGGGACGGGAGCTAGGGGAGGAAAGAAAACACAGGCCTTGACCCTAAGCAATAAAAGTATTTTAGTTAAATTTAGCTATGCTGAGGGGGCTCTTTGCTAAGTTTATTTTGACACCCTATATCAAGGTCTGGTGTTTTCTTGCTCCCTGAGGGGGAGCACTAGGGTAGCGGAGGTGGAAGATCATCTGGGGCTGTAGTCTAAACGACCGGAGGAGAAACGACAACGAAGGTACTAAGCTATTGGCCCTGACCATCTTCGAAGTGGAGGTTTGATAATACCTGAGGTGCTGTTAACCTGAGTAAGACTGAAGGTCCTACTGTACTTTCGTACTCACATGAGTAGCAAAGATCAACAATTCATTGGCTGCCTAGGATGTATGCAAGTGGACGGACAGTCATATTCATTGTCATCGGCAACATCAGTCAGGGATTCGATGTGGACTAACAAGCGGTGGAATGCTTTTTGTCGAACCACACCTATTTACCCAATCAATTCGTAAAGAACCAACTGATTCTACCTAGTAAGTATGCATGGATGTTGTATTTGTGGCTATTGCATATATCTCTTGATGCCTGCCTTGGCCAGGAGAGGCAGGAAAACTTAGCATCTCAGCCCCAAGGGACAAAAACACTTGGGCAACTTATTATAAGTTTAAGGAGGTCCTTTGTTAAGTCTATTCTGGCCTCCTTTAATAAGGTCTGAGGTTTTCTTGCTCCCTGAGGCTTAGCTAGGTACCTACTGCGGTACCTTAAGGTACCTTGCCTTGTCCAGGTTACCTTATGCAGTTGGCTCGTTGAGCTCTGTATCTGCATCTGCCTGGCACCTCCATGCTCTGGCACTGTTATTCATTGCCTCGTGCCTTCACTTGCAGCCTAGACTTGTGCGCGCACCTTGATCCCTCATTTCCCCCCTTCTTCCTCCTTCTTCCTCCTTCTTCCTCTCGTCTATTTCTGCTTTTAAAGCATTCCGTACTTTCTCTCTCATCTTGTTGATGTCTTTCACCTTTTCATCCATACACGGATGCGATAACAGCATTAGGACTGACATTCAAACGAACTTCTTCAAACAGCAGTCTTTTACCAAACACTCTTTTCTGTATCCTATGGTGAAATCTTCCAAACACATCCCGAGCAACCAGGCGCCATCTCACGCAGCAGATCGCTTTGAAGCACTCAAGTTTGCTATTCCGCCAACGCTCTCTCGATTGAATCGACTGCAGCAAGGTACTTGTGTCAAGTTCCAGTATCAAAGTCAATATGGAACAGACAGATTCGATCACTCCCTCTGATCGTCAAAGTGGCCCAAAACACAACAAAAAGTCTGGTCAACAAGAGGCAGATACCACAATGGCTAATGACGTTGACCCATCAGCCCCTGCTGCAGCCCCTCCAGATTCGGTGGAAAGAACTTCTAAGAGTGGTTCTTGTTCGAGGAAGAGCAGGCAGCAGAAGAAGGAAAAGAGTCAAGAAACCAAGCCGGCCTCGGCGAAAGGCGAAGCTGAGACTTCTAGCATTTCCAGTGAAGACGAATCTGCTTCAGATGATAATCAAGTCTCAAAAACCACAACCCTGGCTCCCAAGCATTATTCGGGAGTTAATGGCACAAGCAAGAATAAGAAGGAACGAGCAAACGGTGACAGTTCTAAAAAGAAGACTTCCAAGGCTTCCATTAAGAAGCAGAAGAAACCTAAGAAGAAAAAGAACAAGACGGGCAATTGCTCTGACACCGCGTCCGATTCGGACAGCGATGCAGATTCCTCCGATCCCGAATCTTCTGATAACGAGGACCCTGCTGAGAAAAATGACCGAACAAAGTCCTCTTCGGGCTTCGAGGGCCAACTGAGGGCGCTCGAACTCCGGTATGCCCAACTGCAGCATCAGCTGGGTAACTCTCATGGACTGGCTCCATCGCCTAACCTAAGCGCTTTTGCTCAACCACCCAATCCAACCCCAAGCGCCTTTGCTTCTTTTGGTTCGTCGGCTCCGCAGTATTCTCTCCAAAATGCTCTGGCTTCACACGCAGCTGATCTCGATCCACTGTTCGCTGGTCGTCGATCAATCCCTGTTTACCATAATCCCAACAGACGTCGCCGACCCATGCGGCTTTCAACAGTGCCAACTCTCGAAGGTAGTGACCGAGATAGCATCACTAATGATCATTTGCGTGGCGAGTCGAGGGTCAAGGGTAAAAAGCCTAAGGGCCCTGCCTTTATGCGCGTGGATCAGGTGTGGGACAACAGCATACACAATTTCAAACTTCAAGACACAGCCGATACAGACACCGATTCCCAGTACGACGAATACATCTTTCATGTTAGGCGGAAGTTCGACTGGGAGGGCAAGCACGTAGCGACTGTTGTCGACATCAAGAGCAAATTGCTTCGGGAGTGTCTACAGGACGTTATCGGTAACGCGGATGGCATCAGCCTGGTAGACGAAACACCAAAAATAAACCCTGAGGTCCTTTTCCTGTGAGTAGTCTGACATTACTATCTGCCAGGAGGTTTGTGGTCGGATTTGGATAGACATGAACGGGTTGGTGATGATGTCGTGATCTTTTGCTGATATTTCGTCAGGTACCTGGAAGCTCTCCGTGATCATTTGAAGGCACTGCGCAAAGCCAAACCTGCTGGCAAGTCTAAGAAGAGTCAGAAGAAAAATAAGAATCTACTTAAGGAAAAGAAGCAGCATCTCAAGATACTTATCAAGTATCTTGACCATGACTTTGAAAGCACAAAAGAAAGTCTCTATCCCATGCTCAAGAATGGCCTCATCACATTTGAGTTGCTTTGGGCTTTGTGGAAACCGGATACACTTGTCTATGCCACAACGTACGGAAACCCAAGCGAGCCACGAGTTTTCAAAGTCGAATCAGCGCACTTGCACCACAGCGTTATGAGAGGCAGTTATTACCACGTTGAAGGGAAATACATGGAATTCGATGGCAAGCGCTTTGGCTATGGCAATACATCAGTCGAGATAGATGGGTTCCAGGGCGCCAAGAAGATCAAGAGTCTTCCTTGTTATCCGCTTCAATACCACCATAACGAGCAGAAACTCCGGCTTGATTTGATTGAAAGAGGCAAGAAGTTTGCGTCATTGAGTGGTGTTCATTACAAGAGCTATAAGGGCATCGCCTTCATGAAGCGTAGGAACGGCTCGGTAATGAAGTTCAACATTCAGTCCAGCAGAGCCATGATCGACCCGACTATCTTTAGGAGGACCAACCCCAACTACAGCGTGTCGACTGTTAAGCCAAAGGACCCCGATATCATCGAGGATGAGACTTCGGAATCGGATTGCGGGAACTGTGCGTGTGGCTCAGATTCGGAGGGCGCAGAGGCGGTGAAGTTCGTCAAGAAAGTCTATAAGGACGAGAATGGCGACGTGCATATGGTCAGCTTTCCTAAAAGTTTGGTTCAGGATGAGCCCGGAAACGCCGAACTGGATGAACTCCCCTCCAAAAATGTGGAAGGCGATAATGACGAGGACATGGACATCGTCGACTTCACAGATGAGGATTATCTAATTGCTTCTCCCGTGGTTCTTGGTTTCTCATTTTCAGAAAAGCAATGGTTGGAGTTCGCGGTTTCCTGTGTCAATGAAATCAAATGGAATGAGAAGGCGTGGGACTCCCTGGTTCTGGAAGATGGCACCAAGGACCTGATCAAGGCCCTTGTGAAGTCACGCAAGTATCACGCAGCTAACACTATCGATGATGTTATCCAGGGGAAGGGGAAGGGGCTCGTCAGTAAGTTCAACATACACAAACATCCGAGGTGCAGAAAATAACATTTGAAAGCCGTCCTACACGGACCTCCCGGAACTGGCAAGACACTCACGGCCGAAGGAATCGGAGAATTGCTCCAATGTCCACTTTATATGGTATCGGCTGGCGAGTTAGGAACAGACTCGAGGTTTCTGGAGGCAGAGTTGCAAAAGATACTGGACATTTGCCATGCTTGGGGTGCTATCCTTCTTCTGGATGAGGCAGATGTATTCCTGGAAAAGCGTAACATGCACGACATCCATCGCAATGCCCTTGTGAGCATCTTCCTTCGTCAGCTGGAGTATTTCCAGGGGATTTTATTTCTCACGACGAACCGAGTAGAAGTGAGTATCTAGAACCCGTTGGCTTCGAATGATTACTAACATAGGGGTGATTCAGACCTTCGACGAAGCCTTCCAGTCCCGAATTCACATCGCCTTGCGATATGACAACCTCAAGTCTCCTGCAAAGCGGGCCATCTTTAAGATGTTCCTCGACCGTGTTCATAAGCTGGGCAAGCTCAAGGTAGAACCATTGACTGAGGATGATCTGGACTTGCTATCGAAGCAAGCTCTGAATGGACGTGAAATCAAGAACGTGGTGGGCTCGGCTCAGGATCTCGCCGTTAACAAGGGTGAGGCCCTTAGCATGCGCCACATCAAACAGGTTCTCGACGTCCATGCCAAATTTGGGCGGGATTTGAAAGGAGGACCTGGTTATGAAGATGCTATGAGAAGCTACTTCTAGCTTTGGATTGGGGATGACGTCCGGTTATTGGTCAGCGGTGAAAAGACGACAGAGATGGCTCGTCTTATGCCGAGCGCCTGAGATTGAAATTACTTGGTATTCATGTCTGATAGTCTGAGCTACAGCGTTGTTGAATTATGTATGTATAAGCTTCTACGATAAATTCTGTTTACTCAAAAGCGTTGTGCCCGTCCTCACTAGGAGGAACAATTCGTGACTTGAGGTAGACTTGCTTCATGAAGGTTCGTAAATGCAATGAGGCTCCCTGTCAAATCGGCAATACCCTTCTATGTTATTTGCATAACAATGCTCCTAGTGCATCTCTCTTCAGTATTTTGATATTCGCTAATCTGAGCACTCACAGCATATGAAGAAGCGTGATGTATGTAGTCTGCAAGCCAGCCGCACACACTCATATATCAACCCATGGTCTCCAGTCTTGCAATCTCTTGCTTTGTCTCACTGCTATTTTAATCACAGTCCAGCTTCATTTTGCGAAAATTATTAACGAAGGCACGGAGTAACAGAGATTAGGTAGGAGCGGGAGCTTTATTGAAGATCCCTGGATTATGGCCGAAGATCAAACTCAATTCAGCTACGCCGTGCCCCTTTTCAACAAACCGTAGGGAGTAGGATTGAATGCGATGATGGTTGTCAGTGTTTGACATGAGCTTTCACTCAATCTCGCTCGAGGAGAGCCCTAACTAAAAGGTTATCTTGTTGATGGTTCTCCTTAAATCAACATGGCCTGAATAATACATACACAACAGTGAGTGCCAGAAATAGCAACATTCTCCACATATGATGACTATAGCCACCCAAGCACATAATAGTATCACCAGGTACGGAGTCATTAGTTAGTTATTGTCGGGAAGGATTCAAATGAGACGTAAGATGCTGACTTGGCAATTAATAGCTCACGGCGGGCTACTTTCCCTGTTTCTAGAAGCCGTGACGATGCCGTGTTGATGAGACAAACACAGTCAAGAGCCATGGGCAGAGTCAAAGACACTGGTTGGCGTGTGAGCGTGTTACAGAGACAATCAAAAGAAGCTCGAAGCATAAATGTTAGTTCAATGGCAACATTCCAGTCCAGCGAGGGAAATACTACTCCGTAGAATTGTACATAATATCAGTTGATGGTTCCCTCGCCCTCCTGATCTGCTCGGAAGGAGGATTATTAAAGTATTCATGGGTAATATTCTCGATCCAGTTCTTAAAGCCGGTAAAGGAACAGGACCCCTTGAACCCTGGTCGTGCTGGGGTTTTGCTGTAGGTAAGCCTCGTATAATATTCACTTTCCTTAATGGGCAATCAGTTCAGTTCAGGATTGTAAGCAACCGGACTAGGCTTGAATAGGTAGGCTTTCAAGGTCTCGCACGAACAAAGAATATTTTGTTTCAAGTTTTTGAAAGACGTCTGTGTAAGGGAAGGTATTCCTTTGACTCTTGGAGCAAGACCACGCATACCTACCTTATCTTAGCACCATCAAACAATGCAACCATGCATACCTTATTAGCTTACTTAGGTGATTAGGCCCCGATCGCAACAGACCGATCTGCCGTGCGTCACCGCCTACCGATTCCAGCATGTCTCAGCTCAAGACTTTCCTTGTCGAGTCAGCGACAAAGGGCAAAGGGCCTCCTCTCCGACGTGAGTGGCTGGATGGACAGTCTCATTTCCACTGCCCCTAGAGATCATGCGCATGCTGTGGACGGCGCTTCTGGCCGGCATCATTCCATCGAGGGAAGCGAAAGTGTCTAATTTGATTATGTCTCGTCAGCCTTTTTTTTGTTTACCACCTACGTACGACTACGTATGTACGTACATACTGCACTGTTTGGAAAGGAGGCGCTTGCGTCGTCTGGGGCAGACAGACCAGACCACTACGAAACACACCAACGAACGGGTCGAACGGTGAACGAGGCAAGGAGGGCGCCGCCTCTTTTCCACTTAGCGAATGGGACTCTGGAGATGCCACGGGAGAAAGACAACAAGGTTTGTTTGGGCTGTTGGGGAAATAACGCCAGTAGCTTATGCCACAGCGGCTGTTGTCACGAATCGCACGTATACATGCATCGCTGCCACGAGTATCACGATTTGCAGGTCACAGCACAATTGCATACAGTTGCGCATCCATCCGATGGGTCCACGTATTCAAGTGTCGATTCACCGCATTCATGATAGCTGCCACGACATCCGACACCTCAGTTGTTCACCAGTCAGACAGATAGATACCACCAAGGCACCACTGTACTGTACATGTGCAATATGCAAATGCAAGCCAGTATGCAGGCGTACGAGCCGTCACCGACAGAAACAAAATCACTCGACACACTGACTGAGATGACTGCATGTTCCTTCTCGTGGCAGCCCATCACTTGCTTTTTCCGTCCCCAGCGTTTCAAACAATCTCTTCTCACTGATCACCACTGGATCGCGGCATTCGTTCTTGTCACTTGCCCAAGAATAGAATATGAACGACTTCATTGACCTGAAGGAAATGAGCTCTTCATCAATGTCCCGAGAGCTAGAAGGTGATCAGCGGTTACCCTACCGTCCTTCTATGCCTTAAGCTCTTTTCCGGTCTAGCCTACCGCTGGAACCAGTGTTCCTGTTTTCCGTTTACACATCTCATCAATAAGTCTGGCATAATCTGCTGACGCGGCCGGCGATCTGGTGTCTCTGGCGGGTTCGATTTTCTGGCAGTGGACCAGATCAAAGACTCTACGAGGCCTGCCAGGTCTAGCAGGTACAACGACCTGGTTGGCTATGTCGGAATTAGGACGACTGGGAGGTGAGATGGCCCAATCAAGTAGCCTTGGTACCTGGCAGGGATAAAAGCCATTACCCCTGGGGCTTTCGCGGAAGCAGAGCTTGAACTTGGACTGAAAGGGTGTGGTGGGCCTGGTCCATGACCTTGGCATCAAGTGCTAGCGTCGTTTCTGCATTAGTTAGCCCTGGTGTTGATACCGGTGCAAGCGTTGCTGGTAGCTCGCCCACTTCCCAGGTCCACATCCCAGTGCTGCATACATATGCGTTCTGGGCGAAGGAGACGGAGAGGGATGTGGGAATTGCAGCAAGGGTCTTGTCCAGCGGACCTGAACTTGCAGGGGCGTGCGTGCCGGCTTCTGATGAGAACGGAAGAAGAGAGATGAGAGACATGGTGTCCACACAGACACCACGCCACGCCTCCCAACTCGGGTTGAAAGGAGACTCAAAGACACACACCCCTTGCTCACCTTATAACCCTCAATTCCTCCCCCTTCTGTCTCTCCTTCGATTCTTCACTCCTCAGTCTTTTTGGATCACGGCCTTTGCCTTCTGTCACTCCTTCACAGCACTACGCTGATAACACTCTCTTGAACCAACTTACCTTACAATCCTTATAAAAGGCAAAAGGAAGTATTCCGGAAATACAGCCATTTACCAAAAGCCGTCACTCTTCCAACACAACACAACATATACACAAATCACTCAAAATGAAGGTCTCTTCTTCCGTTGTCATTCTGGCGGCCGCCCTCGGCGTCTCTGCCCACCCCAGCGGCCACGCTCACCAGCGTGCTCACGCCAAGCGCGACTTCGTCGTTGCCAACAAGCCCGTCACCGTTGTTGAGTACGCTACTCAGGTCGTCACCGCCGACGCCGCCCCTGCTACCGCTGTCCCTGAGGCTCCCGCCTCTCCCAAGGTCGATGCCGACACCGTCCCCAAGGCTGCCACCAGCGCTCCCGCCGCTGTTGCTTCCACTCCTGCCAAGTCCAACAAGAACAAGGGCAAGAAGCACAACTCCAGCTCCAGCTCCGGTTCAGGTTACAAGGCTTTCTGCGGTGGCAAGAAGGCCAAGCGTGCCACTCTCGAGGACATTGCTTCCGTTGGCAACACTGGTGTTCCCGGTGACTTTGGCTGCAACATCATGAGTGTCGATGCGGATGTCGCCGACAAGTACGACTACACTGTCACCTTCAACAACGACCACGATGGCGACAAGGAGTGTGCTTGCTGGAACAAGATCGGACCTGATGGCAAGATCGACGGTTTCTTCGCCCAGAACGTTGCTCTGGAGTTTACTGTTGCCGCCTCCAGCTCGCAAGTTGTTGCTTTCGACAGCGACTCCCAGGGTGGCTGCGCTTGTGCCACCGGTAAGGTCCCCACCACAAAAGACAACCTGTGGGCCGGTACTTGGCTCGAGTTCGACTTCGGCAGCACACGAAACAAGAACTGGTCTGGCGCTGACGCCTCTTGCCTTGTCTCTGCCGCCGCAAAGCTCGACATCCCCGGTCTCCGAGTCTGCGACACCTCCGACAACACTTGCTCTACCATCAACCCCGGTGGCACTGGCGAGAACGCCTACCTCGGTGGCATGGAGGCTGAGGACGGCATTGGCATCAACACTCCCGCCAAGCAGGTCCGCCTCACCGTCGACATTGACTACTCCGCTTAAGCTACATCGTAGCGTGTGGTTTGGTCCATTTGAGAGCTGGACCTCCGCGTAAAACTTGATTTTATAGAATTGGGCTTATTCTATCTATACCTGGTGTTTACGGTGCTCGGAATTCAGCCATCCAGGGCGATCCTGGATCTTGGCTTTGGGATCTATCTATTATACCTTCTAACATATATATATTCATAGTGTTATGACATATATTCATTTCTCCTGCCAATTGCTTATCTTGTGACTTGTAATGTGATTGAATGTGTTTGCTTCAGATTAATTAATTGCGTTGATCCCCCGCCAATCCCCAGGTTTGGTCAATCCTTTTCGCCAAGCGAATCATCTATCTATCTTGAATCCGTCCCGATCGCGCCGAATCCTATGAGCGAAAGGATCGAAACCCGCGAGAAAACGCAACTTGTATCAACAAGATGGCCCCCAATGCAACGACCAACAGTGAGGGAGACCCACCATGATCAGCACAATCTTCATCTCGATTTATCGAAAATCTCTGCCTCTTCCTTGCGTCTTTTTTTGTTCTCTTGGAGTTCTTGGTATGTTCCTTAATGATGGAGACATGACAATCAGACTTTTCACAATAGGCTGTGAACTGCCCACGAGAAGCTCTGGTGGTGCTACTAATGCAGGTTCAGCTTCCATCCATTGTTTCAAGATAGGGAGGGGCTTAGTGGGCCTTTGTCCTTGTTTACAGTGCATATGCAAGCACACAACGTAACGCATCGCAACGCTTACGCGGAATATGTTTACTTTTGTTGGTTGCACAAGCAATAAGCTTCAGTATATTTTCGAGACTAGAGGGTCTTTGAGCAACCTCGAGATCACAATTACTCAGCTGTGACGGAGGTGGTTGAGAAATGGTGTCACACAATCATCCGTACTCCGTAATATACCTAGGTAAGGTACCTAGGTAAGTAGGTAGGCTTCATTCCTCGGTAGCGGGCCGCACCCTACAACCACAAAGGTAAAGCCATGTAATGTGCTGTGCTGTGCTTGTCTCCCTCTAACGAGCAACTAGTAGAAGAAACTTTACCCATTAGCAGCAACCGCTGATTCAACGCTCGCTCGCTTCTGAGGCATAAACTTTGTTCTTGTGGGCTTTTGCCTCCCAACGGCTTTCGGTACCTGAGTACTGGAACCAATCAGAGCAGTCGATGCCCTGACTAGTACCTGGCAGATCACAACGTGGCGTGGGTGGAGACAATTGTGTACTGTGCTGTACTGTACCTACAGAGCTAGAGAGCCCTGCCCTACCCTACATGACAGACTTTGAAAGTAGGTGTGCTGACTCAATCGTGACAAGTCTTTTAGCCTTGGATGTCACATGCTGTGGATGTTCTTGGCGGGTGCCTGTCTTTCTTTGACTCACGATGGCACTGTGGAGTGAGTTAGTATCACCGAGTGAGTTTGAGATGGTGGGGACGATAAGTCAAGGTCTGTAGAGGGTTGTTGAAAAAGGTGGAGGTGTTTAAAGTGTGTGCATTGTATGTGATGTTCGATGCATCTTGCTTAGAAAGGTCACTGAAGGAGTTGTTGAGAGTTATCATTGTGTAGCATTGCAGTCAGTACCCCAACAGCCATCCAGTCACTTTCTTCAAACAAGACCCTGGAATGTTTTGCAAAGCAACTTCTCGCAGAATTCATAAATCGCTCAAGAATCAATCTCTGTAGTCTAAAAGTTACTGACAGAAACGCTAAATAAGCACACCGATCGGCGATATCGTCCCGTGGACCCAACCCAAACTCAACCCAACTCAGTAGCCATGTGTCAAGCCCAGCGAGAGTCCACTCGGGCCGTGGCGATGTGATAGGAACTGCTCAACTAGTGGCGAAGAACACCAAAGACTCTTAATGAACAGTAGGTACTTGATTCGTAAGGTGGAAGCCTGACAAACAGGTGGATTGCCCGCTGAACATGATTCATGGAGAACTTTTAAGCTACTGGGACTAGAATATGCAAAGAGAAGTTTTCATGGTCACTGAGTGGGCTACCATGAACGTGCAGTCTAACAAGTAGTGTAAGCAATCGGCTGGAAGAAAAGAATGTCACTTTGTGGCACACCGTTGCATTGTAAGTCGGTGATGTTATAGCCTATCGGAGGTTGTGTGCTTGAGAAACTAGCAGTGACTGCATGAGGGACCGTTAAACTTTAGTGGAGTTTGTCAACACTTGGTCGCGGTCGGTTCACTGGTGCAGGAGTTACTTGAATCACTATAGGTAGTATGTATGCTTGGTAGTTGTGGAGGGTATAGAAGGCAGTGTTTGATCGACTGAGTTACGTGTAAGGACAGGCAAGCCACTGATAAGAAAGTATAGAACAAGTCCAACATCTGATATAGTTGGATATAGTTAGTGACGAAATATATACAAGTCCTCATCGCTTATTACGCTCAGAAACTAGAACTACCACAACTGCTGCCCCCTCCACAACTCGAACTACCACCACAGCTAGAACTACCCCCTCCACAACTTGAATGTGAATGACTGACACTCTCTGCAGCGAGAGCAGCAGCAGCAGCCGCCTCGGCCATCCTGATAGTCTCCCCACTTGCACAGTCTGCTGCATTGCGTGTTGAACTTCCACACCCGCTTGCGCAGACATGGCACGGCTTCTCGGACGTTGGACTGAAGTGGGAGTCGCTGTAGCAGCCATCTACGTGATCCATGCCTATGTGGTGATGGGGCACTAAGTTGAGCCTATCAATGTCGGGTGCCGGGTTTGTACCTCCAAAGTCAACATAGTTGTGCTGCGTCAAGTCTACGTGCCCGCCGAAACGTCGCTTTCGTAGGTAAGCTGGCATATCAGGCAGACCGACACGGCCATCTCGCTGTAGTTCATACGCCTCGATTTGCTTGGCGCGAGTGAGGGTTGCCCAAGGAGCAATAAAGAAATGGCTGTAAACTCCAGCTTCGTAGTAGTGGCTGCATGGCTGAGCACGGTGAATACCGCCAAGTTTGACTCTTGCTAGAGACGGATCAAGGGTGCTCTGTGTAAGGTCTTTGTGCAGCCATGCAGTGGCCTTTTGGAACTTGACCGACTGAGCCATGGCTGCAGCGGCTTGGTGAAGAACAGACATAGCCGAGAGGACTGTAAGTCGGTTCCGCATCCATGAACTTGCAGTGGCACCTTTGCCAACAGCTGTCAGGTCCTCATCAGTCAACGCTGGTGCGTACATGTGACGGTCGCGTGAGAGATGATGCGAGGATATAGACCATGAGTCGAATGGGAAAGCCCAGACATGCTTGGCAAGGTTGCAGTCACCGCATTTGGTAGGATATCTCCCATAGGCCTCTGTACAGTCCCAAGGATATAAGTCCTGGTATTTGTACAGCGTGCTGCCAAAAGCACCCCAGTCATACCAATACTCTTGATATGTATCGATGATATCTGATTCGTCGTGACGTCCAAAGTGGAAGCGGAGGAGGTATTCTTCAGTGAGCCCGAACGGAACATCAAACTTGGTTCGTACACCTCGTCTCTTGTATCCCTCATCCGGGCATACAAAGCTCATGGTGTAGAGACGGGACACATCAGAAGACATGCCACCAGGCTCTCCATTGACGAGAGGCTGGAAGAGTGTCTTGTCGATGAGTGAACTGCAGAAAGTCTGACAATTGTTATGTGTTGCACTCCAAGCCAGCTTCACGTCTTGGTTCAGAAGCCGCCCTGAAATACTGCCAAGATATACCCTTAGCCTAGGACTGAGCAGCGTCTTGAGTTTCTCCAAAGCTGGCTCAAGTACTTTGTCGATTAGCTTGATTTGATCAGAGGTAGGTAATCCAGGATCGTCGAATGGCTGTTTACAAGCCGCCAAGAGATCCTGAACGATAGAAAGTTCTTGATCATGAGAAGCATAATCTCCGCTGAATGGCACACCAACGACTTGCTTCATGATGGCCTTGTATCTCTTGCGGTCGGTAGCCTTTCTTTTACGTTTCCATACAGGACGATCCTGGCCGCCCCCAATTGCGAGGTCTCTGTCAGGCATTGTCTGCAGGTGGAACCGTTCGTGGAAGATTGGCATTTCTCGAAGAGACACGAGGACACCGCCTTTGGTACTGGATTATCTGTAAGTTGGTATTGGCAGGGCGGCAAGAAAAGAATTACTTACTGTGCGACCCCGTTCTCAATGACGATAGGGCCAACACGGAGTGCCATATGAACATTTCCGTAAGGATACTTCTCCACGTACTTCCTGAAGAACAGGGGGATATCTCCGTCTTCTGCTGCTTCTTCCGCCACGCTGACACTAGTCGAAGTAGGTGAACGATCGTCTGCATGCAAACTGGTCTGCTGAACAGTCTTCATCCTCTTGAGCCGCCCACCCCGAGGCCCGGATTCATTCTTCGACTTCGGCTCTTCCTCGCCTTCGAAGTCACTAACATCTCCCTTGGCAGAAGATGTATATCCATAAGACCAGGTATACCTGTTCTTTTGCTGTTCCTCCACTCTTGCCTTCCAATTGGACTTCTCAATATCTTTCCGAGACCGAGGCTTTGCCCCTACACTGCTTTGAAGTCCGAGATATTTTGCCTCAGCGACTGCATCGCCGAGTTGAAGAAGCTTACATTTACCCTTGACGTCGCTGCCATAGCCAGTGTGTCCTTCTAGCCAGGATATAGGGAACAAGCTTTCATCGTTGCTGGCATCAATGATTCTTTGACACGCACACAACTTCCTACTAACCTCAGGCGTGATTGTCTCTGATAGGATACAGTGCTTATAGGCCTTTGTATATGGGTCTTTTCCGTAGTAATGGCTTCGATAACATTCTTCGCAGATTATGCCAGGATCGGAGCCATCGTCGTTGCGAATGAACATACTTCCGCGAACAACTTTCTTGCATTGCTTTCGCATGCAACGAAGAGGTTCGAAATTTGGAGTGAAGTCATCGTTGAACTTTGAAAGTGCGACTACCACATATGAGTAATGTAAAGAGGCACGTAGCAGGAACGGACTCACGTTGGGGAATGGCTGGCCTCTTCCAGAACCCGAACATGTCAGGAGGTGGACGATGCTCGATCAGTTTTTCCATATCAAGAAAGCCTATGCGTGTGATCAGTCACGTTGCTTGAGTATTTGCAAATGTCATCACATACCAGCAGCTTGGAGGAGGATCCATGCTCTATGCTCCATTCCTTTGAGCTTGATACCAGCTAGAACTTGTAAGTGTATCTTCTATTGACGTTTGTAAATTGCTAGACGTACCTTCAATCGATCCTCTTACATCACTCTTGATCTGATCACTTGCTTGCTGTGTAATTCGATCTGATATGGAATCGATAATAGCATCTCTTGCGAACTTGCGCCCATATGCCTTGCTTTTCGTTGACCAATTCTTCTTGAGCCGAGCCTGTTCCTGCTTCATTTTCCCTGTGAAATGTTAATACGATTTCACTATTGGAAAGGATCTCATACCTACTTACCATATCGTATGGCGTGTGCTCGAGATTGCTGACTGACCGAGTCAAGAAAAGTATCGAAGCCATGGATGAGATCATCATCCTCGTCTTCGATAGAGACTTGAGCGAATTCTGGCTGCTGCCACGCTTTAAGCGTGCGAACGATGTTCTCAAGCTCGGCCTTGACTCCATCCCAGTACAAGCTCTCGAGCTCCGAGAGAACATGGTCTTTTCCAGGGCCGACACGGGTCCATGATATGTCAGGCGCAGAAGTGATGTGGGATGAAGGCAGCGAAGATGCTGCGAGCACAGGGAGAACCTTTTGCCTCAGCCGTGACATTGTGAATGACTTGGAAGAAGAACGGTCGTCGATGGTTCAAGCTGTATTCGCCGGTAATTGTCGAGCGAATATGATCATTCTTATTCACACGATGAGGTATTTGGCGATATACGAGAAATAGGCATCATAATTATTGCTTGGTCTCCAAGACATTCATTGTCGAAAGCCTCACAGGCTGCCTTCTCGTTCTGATGCTGCGCCCCAGCAAGGGCCCTGTTTAATTACCTACCTAGGTAGTTCAGCTCGCCCGACTAGAGTGTTTCAACATCCAAAACAGCAAGATTGTCGCTGGAACTTCAGTAGCCCACCTCTAAATTCCGCAACCTTTCAAGACATTTCCGCTAGCCGAGGCAGATTAAGAGGAGAATAGGCAAGGGATCTGATGGCTGCCTATCCGTACCTATGGATAATTACCTCTTGCCAAGATAATCGACGCTTAGAAATGATGCGTCTGCAAGATACGATACAGCAGATGTCTATCGAAAATGGTAGAGGCGTAAAGTACCGACAAGGATATATTGCTAATGATAAGCGCTGTTGCCCAGTTTCATCGGCGGCTCAGCCCTGTGGTTCGACTCATCTGATGCTCTCTAATCGTCTTGGTCTGATCAAGGCATACCAGCTCAGACCGATGCTGGATATCAAGACTGACTGGCAACACCAAACTCCGACTACTCTTTTGTGATCCAGACTTAACCACTTATACTTGAAAGACCCGGCGCATTTATATTTGTTTCTCCAACCGCTTCGCCTTGATACCCAAACCTCACTGAAAGATGTCGCATCTCATCGGTTACAACACAGGTGCACTTCACCAAGCCTGCAGCGACTTCAACAACAACATATCAAAGACATACTATCCTTCAGCCACCGACTTGGATGAAAACCCCATCATCCCTAGACCTGACATCTTCAGCGAGCTTGATGACTCCCATAAAGATAACCTACCCACTCCAGTGCAATGCGCTGTTCACCTAGAATTGCTTGAAGCTTTTCATGCATTGCGTATTAAAATTCTCGACTCAAAGAAACTCGACAAGGCGTTCAACTTGGGCGAACCGACCAAGAAGATCTATCGCCGCAAGTATATCAAAGGCTTGAAAAAGCATGTCAATGAAGAAGTTACACTAAGAAACCCGTCGTGGGAGGCCAAGCGGGACAAGAAATGGACGTGGTACCTTGGAGAAGCAGCGCGAAGGTTTTTGGTATGGGCTACCAAGTTCGATGCTTGGTTGGCTTCAGCGATGGGAAAAGACGGCGTCAACGATATGAAGACTGGAATATCAATGACTGATTCCTCATGGCTGCCACCCGTGGGTGAGTATCTCACTTCTTCCACAACTGGCCAGTAACTGACCATTCAACAAGATATTCTGATGATATGGCATGCTTTCCTCCTTAACCCTTCTGACTATCTGGACTACTGTCGAAACCAGCACTGGGACTACCTCCCGAGGGTCAACTTCCCTTGGAAACTTATTGTGCGTTTATACCAGGCAATGCCACCAACTCCGTAACATGAACTAATTATGATGCAGCACGATTCAATCAAGTCGCAAGGACCCATTCGTGATACCTGGGTAGTCACTGGAAAGACCTGGGAAGTTCCTGAAGGAGAAGCAGTCATTCCAGGCACTCTTCTCAAATCAATTATCCAACAAGGCAACATGATAACACAAGATATTGGCAAGCCATATACTTCTCGCTTCATTGGAAAACTCGTCGATAATGTCGAGCGCCAACGCGTCTTCGTTGAAAAGATGAACGCTCATCTATGGATACGAAGCCCAGCACTGCAAGGAACCCTTCGCCGAGCAGTTGAGAGATACGAGAGGTATCTGAAGCTTTTCGCTCTCTATCCTGGCAAGATGCTGGTCCCTGCACTCGACATTGACCTCGTCTGGCATACCAGTCAACTCTCAGCAACAGCATACCTGAATTCCATGGAAGCACGTTGTGGCCGCTTCATTAACCATGATGACAAGATCAAGAAGTCAAAATTGGCTGTCGGAAACGACGAGACTCAGACTCTCTACCGTATTCGTTTTGGAGAGGAGTATACGGTTTGCTTGTGCTGGGAGTGTCAGGCTATTATGTCGGCTGTGGAGAATTCTGCTGATGGAGATGATTTTCTTGGAGAGTTGCCAGTTTCGGGGTTTGCCGAGACCCTCGCCGACAAGATATTGGCTGATGTTCAGTTTTATCGGGCTGTGGAATCTGCAAGACGGAGAAACCATGTGAAGTTGCCAGTTCGGTCAGAGGACAAGACGCATTCTCAGAATTGGCCATTAGTTACTCAGTAGAACTATTTTTGATCAAGAACTTTCTCCTTGTAATCTCCCGTCTGGCTTCCAGGCTGACCGATTGTTGAAAAGTCCATGTTCTAAAGCACCAATCCTTTCTTCGTAGAACCTCTTGCCATGAACAGTAACACGGCAGAAGAGCAACTTTTGGAACTCTGAAGAACTTATTTCAACTGCTTTGAGACTCATCTGATTGTCAACGTAGCGCGTCAACAGAATAAGTCGTGGTCCGACATGGTGGTAGAAAGGCTGAGGAAAGCGCCAAAAGTTTGATTCTTTGACTGGAAAGTCTACAGAATCGTCTGAAAGACGGCGTTTGTCATCTCTAGTAGATCCTAAAGCAGCGCTGACTATCCCCTCGCTTGTTTCGTGCTCAGAAATGGCTGCCTTTGGTAGCAAGTCTAGCATTGCTCTGGCGACATCTACCAGAGATAAGATGTAGGGTTTGTCAGCTCGCGTAACCACATCAAACTCATTGATCACGTTGACGCATGTAGTTCCGCTACTTGGCTGAAAGATATCAAGATCAACGTGCCGGGTCAAGCAAGGAGGTGCTCCAAACGTGACACACGAAAACCTCGCTGACTGGTCTGTATCTTGTCAGCCAGTTTCTCTTTCCATACTTGTTTCCATAACTTACTCAAATCTTGGTTAGATATATGGCGAAGATATAATAATTGTGATACAGCTCCGCCGGCGGAATGCCCCGTAAAAAGAATGTGAGGTCTCTTCCCACTCGTCTCGTCAAAAGACTCCAGGTACTTGTTGACAAGATTTGTGACAATCGATTCCAGAGCTCGTGCACTATTTAGAAAGCCAGAATGTGCCTTAAGGTCGTCTAAGCATCCCTTTGACTGTTAGCTGGGTGAAACCCTGAATGAGGTGACACCAAAATGGCTTGATGAACAAATTGGTGAAAGGGAACTCACAATAAAACTTTCAGTCGTCCTGGGCTGAGCATTGGCATTAACAATGTGGTCCATCTTACTAGCACTTCCGCGTATTGCTAGCACCAGAACCGGTAATGAATCAGTCATCGGCGAGCCTGCCTTTGCCTCGACGACAGTTGATGTGATGAGTTTTACGGTCCCGGCGAAAGAGCTGTCGACTACTTGATCACGGCGAAACGTGCAGTAACTGGTATCAGCCAAGGTGCTCTCGAGATCATAAGTCCCACGCGCACACTTCCAGGCCGCGGATATGAGCTGGACTTCAGATTGAGACCTATAGAACCGAGTCAGGATGTTTTCCTGGAATGAAAACGGGAATACTCACGGGTTCCATTCTATTGATTCGTCATCGTTAACCTTGGAGTTGGTATACTTGGCTGCTTCTTGATCTAGACGCTCAAGCAGCTGCCGAAGCTGTTCATTCAAGCTACCTATTGCAATTCCAAGTCAGTGAGTGCTAAATCAACAAGCTAGACTTACGACTAACCATTCAGGTTGATCTCGCTCAAGGTATCAGTCAGAGCGCTCGATAATTCGTACGCAGCAACTGATGCCCCGCCTGTGTTGCTGGCTGAGTATGCAGTCTTTGAAGAGGATGAGCCCATGATAGATTGTGAGTTTGTGAGTTTGTATACGAAGTATTTATTGACGGACTTGGATCTGCATATGGTCTTGACGAGTGAGTGTTCTATTGCACAAAGTTTTGGGCTGACATTGTGCTATAAGAGGGAGCTAGGTCCGCTGCTTTAGTATAGTAGAGGGAGCAACACCATTAAAAGCACAGGCATTATAAACTCGTGACTGCTGATGCTGCGCCTCGAAATTTATACAAAACTGCCTTTGTCACCTAAGAAGGGATCTTTTGATACAAATTTGATATTGATCTACGAAAGTGAAGATCATTGTTAGGTAGAATAGAATAATTATTGATCTACACCAGAGTTACAGTCTCTCAGTTTAGCTCCAGATCCAGCCCAAAGCCGTTGGAAGATCAAGATCTCGGCAGCCCGAGCTCTTCCGTGGAATCAGACGACACTAGTGACATTCGAAACGTCGCGTGAATTGAGATAAGTAAGTCTTTGCTTCAGATGTTTTTTCTTGTACCAGGTTGTAGGGAGAGCGATCTGAAACCTCTTGTAAAAGCTTCCGGATTATCGGGAGTCAGGCATTCACACCACAGTATGTATCTGGCTAGATACCTTAGTTAAAGTATATTTTCCCAGGGCTTCCAGGGACTGCTGCACTGTGAATTCAGGTGTGACTATGCTCCAACACCAACAAAACACAACCTAATACATCAGTCACATCACATCTTTGCTGGCGACGACAGCACGCAAAGTTCTGTCTCATCCTTGCCGCTTATTAGGCAAAGCATTATATCTGACGACGCGACGATTACATACAGTACAGCATCAGCCTGACGGGGCACTCTCGTCCTGTTAATTTACCAGGTCAAGCAAGTTCGGGCCACAAAACAAATGCCGCTCGCTCGCTTGTTGACGAGAAAACGTTTCCTGTCAAAAATGTTTGGTTTGCTAACATAGTTACATACATACATAAATACAGGCATCTGCAGCTTGTTTAATTGAACAAGGCAAGGATTTATTTTCCGGTGATAATCTTCAGCATTGCCATAATGCGCCAAGTCATGGGTATAATTTCGCCTGTGAGTGATTTGTTCAAGCGCATGGATAGCAGGGGTAGGTATCCTCACTTTATGCAGGCAAGCAAGCAAGCTAGCATCTGGGGAACACAACGTCTTTCTGGGCAATTCGCCTTGATGAGCTAATGAATGCTCACCAGACGATAGTGTCCTCCTCCTCGAAAGAAAGACATTTCTCCGTGTATGCAACCACCCTTGCCCATAACCTGCGGCTGCTAAGAAACAGCAGCGGAACGGTCTACCGCAGTCCTAAACGCCTCATCGCAAGCGACGAAAAACAATTGAAATCATAGGGTTGCAGTGCTATCGAATACCCTGGCCAATAATTGAAACTTACGTCTGCTGTGCTGCCAGGTCTTCGGAACTCAAGGAGAGTACCCCTGTTGGGCCTGTTTCATCTAGACTCGGCTTATCCTCTTGTGGGCTACCGTCTCCTTATGACACGGAGAAGCGATGACATTTTGAGGCTCCTCCGACCAAGACATGGGACGGGGAACTGCAGACATGCAAGTGCTCGCCTGCTTGGCCTTGTAAAACTGTATTATAGTAGGGCATTAGCTCTCTGTTCCCTTGGCCTGGGACCTCCCTATTACATTCTGCTGGCTAGCATTACACATACATACATGTATAGAAAGTTGACTTATGCGAACAAGGAAGGCCTTGATATCAATCTTCCAATGTGATTTGTCTCTTCTCTTCTCTTCTTCCCCTTCGTCACTTTCTTACTGGCATCTCACTAGCTTAGTAGTCACTTGCACTTTTGTCTGTTTTTGCTTCTTGCTTACCTACCTTTCGTCTCTCGTTGAAAAGTTTCTTCCAATTGTTTTCCAGTCCTGCTTGGCCTTGGCTGCATTCATTCTTTTGTCTTCGTCACTCTCTGTCTCTGTCCTTTCTTTTCCACTTCTGATACGTTTCATCACGTCACATCTGCTTCAATTCCATCTCACGAGAACCTGTTTTACGACTTATTCTGCTACGATTGCTCTCTCGACATGGAGATATAGAATCCTGGGAAATCTCCACGGTAGCATAATCTTCAGCATCATGGTTTTGCTGCCAAACATGATAATGAACCGACCATGCACGATACTGAACACTCTAGATAATCACACAACTTTCTATCGACGATGGAATCTCAAGCGGAACAAAGTACGAAGCTTGCTCGTCCAATGATACGCCAGCCCGTTGACTCGTATCATCGACATATCCGCGCTGTCCATGGAGTCGAGAACTCTTCAGAACCTGGATCTTCAAGTGGCTTGGGAAAGTCAGACTCGCACCGACTTGGGTCAGCTTTGTCAGGCTCCCAGCACGGAAACGTCGCTTCGTTCTTCGACTCCGAAAGATTGGCCAGCTCTGCTGCTCCTTTTGATCCAAGCAATAATCCTTCACCATCAAGAAGCAGTGGAATACGATGGCCTTTTCTGGGAAGCATCAAATCGCGAATGAGCCAGGCTTTCCCTGATTCGCCGCGTCTTTCGCCATCCGAACCTACTCAAATCGAATTACCATGGCGCCCAGTCTTTCTGCATCGACGAATATTGGCCATCTATGCTGTTGTGTTCGTTGCTTTGATAGCAGGAGTGCAAGTTGCACTTCAGTTATCTGAACACAATGGAGGCCTTCACGAGTCCGACGATCTTTCGAGATATCTGTGGCAGTATGGAACAACTATAATATTTATTCTCGTGGCTGCTTTCTGGTACAGAGTTGAGTTCCAGGCTTCTGCTTCCATGCCGTGGATCCGCATGTTGAACACACAGGTTGAAGCTAACAAGTCTCTCTTACTGGATTACGTTTCTCTTTCTGAACCGGTGGCTGTCTTCAAATCAGCTAAAAACAAGGACTGGCTAGTAATGATTCCAGTCATTGCTGGCATAATCTTCAAAATAATAGTCATTTTCTCTGTGGCTTTCATCACACCCAAAGTCACCACCGTTGCCAACCACAAGATCGCTACAACAATTCAATCAGAATTCGCCAACAGCATTTCCGGGTTGGAAAACGTCGGATCCTTGCCGTATTTAACTCTTGCAGCTCTGGCAGTTGACAATATCACTTTTCCAAACGGGGTCACATCTCGAGCAGCTTACACGCCATTTATAAGCGATATCCCCGAACTGAAACAGATCACAGCAGTTGTGGACGGATTTATCGGTGGCATGGACTGTGAAGAAACCGAGCTGACTTTGAACTCGATACGACTGCAAAACGGGAATGCTATGTTGTTGAACATGACCCTCTCGGATGGAAAATGTTCCTCAAACCAAACGATCACAAGCACGAAACTCGCCAACTCGAGTAATGAAGACCTTTCGAGAATGTTTCTTGCGCTTCAGCCAGCTCGATGTGGAAATTCTGCGAAGGACGATGATCAGCGAATAGCTGTTATGGCTGGCGTTCTGGATGCCGATATCGATCAGCTCAAGCGCCAATCAAGGACATCAAATAATCGTCTCAATGGCACAATATCGTCATCTGCTTCATTTCTGTGCAAGCCTAACTACATCATCACCAGGATAAAGGTTTCTAAAACGCCCGAGGTCGTCCTCTCCGTTATCCCCGCCCAACAGGCGACAAACACCACACTAAGTCAAGTGCCAGCATGGACCGTCGCTCGAGCTATGCTTGACACCTTTGAGTCCGGCCAAGCAACAGACCTGAAGTTGTTGACAGCATCCACGAACTCGTCGTACAGCCGAGAAGCCATTCTTGATATTGACGAAGCTATGTCGGCTGCCATCGCGTTGAGTACAAGGGATGGAGGGGATTTGCCGAGTCTGGCGTCTTTAACGGAGAATGATACTCTGAGAAGACTTTCCGAGAATTTCTTGACGCAGTATTCGGCCCTAATTGCTCGATATGCCATGATGGAGCCATCGACTAGCACTTCAACAGCCATCGCAAGCTACGTTGAACGCCGTATTGTCGTACGACCGGTGCCAGCCTACATCATAACTACATTTCTTGCTATCTGCTTTGTTCTGGTAATGTCAACAATGTTCCTCGTTCCAAGGAAAGGCTTCCTCCCACGAGATCCCAGCACCATCGTTGGAATGGCTTCAGTTGTGGCACATAGCCACCCGCTGGTAGAATGTCTGAAGGGCATGGGAGCTGCACCCAACAAGGCCTTGAGGGCAAGACTTGATGGCTCGACCTACCTGAGCGGAGCTGAGGGTCACGAAAAGTTGGAGAATCCCAACCTGGGCTATTACCATATCTTTGGAGGCAACGCACCTCCTGCGAACGTTCTACCACGTCGATTCGACTCCTCAGGATGGAGACAACCTGTAACATTGCATGGACTGATTCGGTTGATTTACATCCTTGTTCTTGCTTGTATCATAATAGGATTCGAGATCTCCCTACGAGTGTCGCAGAGGAATGATGGGCTAAGGACGATGAAGGACGATGGAGCGTACATCGCATGGACTGTGGTGCCAGCCTTGGTGCTTCTGTTAGTAGCCATGTACATGCTTTCCTTGGAATGGTGGACAAGACTTCTCTCGCCGTTTTCGCATCTCTCACGTCGAGGAGAGTTTGAAGAAACGGTCGGACTCAATCTTGTGAATGCATTGAGGCATGTTGCGTGGTCAAGGGCTCTGAAGATCCGTGATATTGCTGCCCTGGCTGCCATCTCTGGTGGGTTTGTTGCACTTCTCATGGTAGTCGCAACAGCTCCTCTGTTTGAGCCGATGCCAGTCGGCCAGAACACCAGTATCGCTTTGCGTACCGAGGACTTCTTCGCCAACAGTCTAGCATCCTCCAACGACGATCCTATCTGTACTGACTGCACCAACGATACCATCATGGCATCGCTGATACTGGCCGGCGACGCACCATACCCCCCTTTCACATATGCGAATCTCAACGTACCGAATATGTCGCTAGCCGAAGCGGTTCAAGGGAGCGATCTCACGTTCAGTGCACGACTTACAGCAA